CATGGCTTGATCACACAAGCCACTAGCAACGTACTTTTGGTTATATGGTGTAAGGCCTGGCTTTCTCTTTGGTGTGTCATGGAAAGATGAATGCCTTAAGAACAGAGGCTAGGCACAGGGAGATGTTCTGCACCAAGCCAACTACTGATCTGTTTTTGTGAAAGTGATTGTAACTTTGGGCAGCTCTTTATTTTTAACCTCATAGCATACACTAAGTGTGGTGCTACAGCAGAGCCTGGCTACTTTGCATTGTGTGGGGAGGCCAAGCATGAACTTGTGAATTTTGCAAATGAGTGTGCTGGGGGAGGGGCTTATAACCCACAAAGACCAGAGCTGATTTGTTTACTTCCTTTGACAAGTCTAGATGTTGAATTATCCCCTGTACAATCCTAGTAAATGTTCTGTGGCTTAGTTTAGTAAGAATGAATTCTTGGCACTACTGTAACTTCTTACACTTGGCAGAGACAGAAAATGACCAACTTTTCATGCATAGTACAGGGTTCTATTGTCCTGCTCTTGTGCTCCTTGCTCACTTTCCCTCTAGCCACAGAACTTTTTTGAGTTAATTTCCAGGGAGTTTTCCTGCTTGGGCTAATGACTCATGTACTGTATCACAAGGATGTGTGTGTGTAAAACAGTCTCAGATACGCCTGAGTTTCATTTTTTGTGTCTCTTTCTGGTAGCAGCACATGCTTTACTGAAACTGTTCCCTTCTCCCAGCTGCAACTATCCATGTACTGAGTGCCATGCAACAGGCAGGGCTATAGGCTATTTCAGGAATGCATGGCAGCGACAGCTTCCCCTTGAAACTATGGAGAAGACTTTTCCCCCTTTTAGAAAAGTCACCTTTAAATTGGTAATCTAGCCCACAGCGACCCTATCTTTTACTATCCTTAAATTCTGCAAAAATACCCCCAAACCTTAAGTGCCATTGGACTTTCCATTAATGAGCACAAGTGAGAGCATGGTTCAGCTGGAAGATAACTTTCCACGCCATGCTGCTGTAATAGTAAAACCAAGGGGAAAGTGCCACCATTCAGCTTGGGCTACTGCTTGCCTCAGATTGGGTGACAGTTTGCAAGGTCTGATGCAGTGAATCTAAACCCAAGGGCTGTGTTTACATTGGTGCGATCTTGCAGCCTGTCTACACTGGCCGCGAGTTCTTGTGCAAGTAAACTGACATTCTAATGTATGAAATCAGTGCTGCTTGCACAAGGATCATGATGCTCCTGCTCAGGAATAAGCCCTTTTGCACAACTGTTCTTGCGCAAGTGGTCAGTGTAGAGCTTTCTTGTGCAAGAGAGCATCTTCACTGGCATGGATGCTCTTACGCAAAAGCACATGCCAGTGTAGGTGCTCTCTTGCACAACTACTTTAACGCAAGAACTCTTGAGCTAAAGAGTTTTTGCACAAGATCATACCAGTGTAGACCTAGCCAAGGTGTTAAAAGTTCTGAATGAGAGCTTGCTAGAAGATCACAACAGCAAAAGACCCCAATGCCCTTTATATAATGCTGGGGGGTACTGTCCCTTTAAAAATATTGTGAGCCCCTTCTATGCTCTGACCCTGTGTAATAGAAAGGGATGGTGAAATCCCCTTCCTTTGCAGAGAAGAGCAGTCTCAATACACACCCACTTGTTACACCTTCAGCTGACCATCGTGGGTGCACAGCTAAGTAGCATGACATGCATGGTGCATCACCCGTAGCGTGACTGGATCCTGTCACTCAGAACTCTTATTTATTCTGCATTGTATGTAAAGAGTACATGGTGACACACACAGGAGGACCCTGCTGAGCGTCTTGGTTGGTGAAGTTGAAGATTGTTTTAATTTTTACTTGGCCATGATGTGTAGAATTCTTGCCATCATGTACACTGCAGCCTGAGATTGTTTTTACCTACTTTCAAAGGCAAAATAAAAATTGTTTTTCCCCCCTTCATGCAGCTGATTACAAATATGCTATCATTCCTAGGCTTGATACTATACTAAGCTCCTGCAGTTAAGGACAGTAGGCCAGAAGTACCTACTGTAAAGCCACTTTACAGACTTTAGGGCACTGACCTAAGCAAGAGAGCTAGCACGTCAGTACTAAAAGGCAGCTTGTAGCTCAGCTTCCTTGGGTATAAGAAAAGAGATCTTCCCTTCAAAGGTGTATTTCTTGCTGCACCCATGCAGGCAGATAACTATTCATTACTTATTTAGCTGCAAAGGGCTAAGTACTACCCTCAAATGCTTGTGCTGAATTCCCCTGAAGTCGAGCAATGATGTGTATTTGAAGGCCAAAGTTGTTCCTTACATTGTCACTAGCATAGGGGGCTTCTAATGCAGTAGGTAAGAAACAGCACAAGCTGCTGGACTTCATGATGTTCAGACAAGGACATTCTTTTATTTCTTGGGAGGGAGAGGGAAGATGGGGGTGTAAATTGTGCTTCCATGGAAGCCACTGGACCTAAGCTTCAGCTACAATCAAGTCCCTGGTGATCTGGAAAGCAGCAATAAGGGAGCTTAGCTGAATCGCCTAAAGCCAGAAGGAAAACAAGTGTAAATACTCCATTTGGACAGATCCTTCACTGCTAGTATGACTGGGTCTGTCCCAGCACAAGCTGGGCAAAATCTTGTTTAACAAATATCACTAGTTGTTTCTGGAAATACACAATTATGCTCCCACCTCTGCTAAAACACCTGCAGGGGCCACTGACAGCAGTGGGCACAGTCCTGTACTTGTGATAGTTTTGTGAACCAGCGGTGCAGTATTAATAGTAAGCTTTCCTCAGGAGTGCTTCGGACACCCCGAGCGTCTTTGTGAGGGGAGAAGAGAGCAGCCAGGGCAAGCAAAGCGACAGGTATCAAAGGGATACTCACTCGATGTCTGCCATTTTGATCAGTAGTTGGATTCGCACAGAAGGAGGAAAGTCCACTACAGAGAGAGATGAAGGACAGGTTGAGTAAATGCAGTAGTTTTAAAAAAAACAAGTCACCGAAGGCTCAGAAGTGAATCTGTCCCAACCCGTGAAGGAGACTGCCTATGTAAGACAGTAACAGAAGATGGCTGCCCAGCCCTGTGAGCAGCCAGCCTCTTCCCCCACCCAAAACACATTCTGCTCGTAGCAAAAGTTTTACAGCCACAAAGAGAAACAGGGTGGCTCAGGTAGTGCCAAACAGGAATTGAAAAACTCAACCGAGCCAGTGGTCTCCAGCATATACCACGCGGACAGGAGCTTTGCTGTCAGTTCCTCTCCCCACCTCTGGCCCATTGCAATCTGAATGGATCCAGCTAAGGTGAGGAGTTACTGGTGGGCCTTTCTCTTACCATAGGACAGAAACCTCCCTACCTGGTACTGCCTCACCCTAAGCTGGGCACCAGAGGGATTAGTTTCCTATTGGTTAGTAAGACCATCTACAAACTACGTGGGTGGCAATGCATGTTAGGACAGGCTGTCTACATGTCATGTTGGCTGGCCAGAGGCGCATTACCTCGGTGCACAAACAAGTGGATCTCTGTCAGGATGTCATGCAGAGCCAAACCTTTCAGCGTCTTTAGCTCCATGATTTCTGAGGAGAGAATCAAGAGATTTTCTTGCCAAGAATTTCTAAGCCAAGGAGTAGGTGCTGCCAAAACAAAGGTTCCCTGTCCCTCCCATTGCTGGATACTTGGTGGGGTGAGCAAGGTACTAACTGGCACTTTTGTTGGCAAACTGAAGATCCAGTTATGTGTAATGCTACATGCCCTCAGCTCTAAATCTACAGACTTAAGACAGCAGGATCGGGCATTGAACTCACCAGCAGGCAGTGCTCGGCCATTGAAAATGAAAGGACCAATAGAGACACCAGCCCGCAGGTCCTAAACAATCAGAGCTTCCCCGTGTGGGGAAAGAGGCACTAAGGCTAATCAGAGGGAACCCATGTCCCACTTCAGAGCATCACTTCCAGGGATAGAAGGTGAGATGTGCCATGTACAAGCCGGGGGTGAGACAAAGATGTACTTGGCACAAGTTACCCGAGAGGCCATGGGCCTTCTAATGCAAAAGTCTCCCTTTTCCACGCGCATTGTTGGCGAAAGGGGCGGCAGGATGCCCCTCACCATGCTAGTCTGAGGGCAGCGTAAAGAGACACGATAAAGAATACTTTTGTAGGCGGTGGTGAAGTCCTGGTTCAGCATCCAGTCGAGAATGTTGGCGATGTCAGACTTCAGGGGGTGTCCAGTGCACGTGTACACAGTGTCCTCGGTCACTTTCTCGAAGGCCATGGTAGTGCTCTGCCAGGAGAGGAGGTGAGGTTATAGGGCAGCTCTGCTCCAAAACATGGCGAGGGAAATCGGGCTTGTGAGCCCCAGGACCTTTAGCACATCTGCACTGGGGTAGAAGCCCTATGCCACGGCCACACCACTGGCTTGGGCCGGGGGGCTAAAAATGGTTGTGTAGACATTCAGGCCTAGGCAGTAGCCCAAGTTCTGGGGCCCTGGTCCTGTGCAGCGTCTCACCGCTCAGGCTCCAGTCAGAGTGATTTTCAGCCCCATCGCCCAAACCTAGTTAGTACAGGACAGGGGCGTGCTGACAATCCTCCTGCAGCTGTGCCCTCCGCAAGTAGAATGGCTTTTTCCTCCTGTCAACCCCATGCCCAGTGCACAACCACACCAGATCCGGTTCTCTCCTGTGCATCATCAACAGAAACTGCTCTCTCAGTGACAATGAGTGCAATCTCTGGTAGGCAACGAGGGTTGTGCGGAAGCCATGGGGGACGCTACGTGCCCTTAGAAATCACCCTGGCTGGTGACAGTATTTTAGGACGGGATGTGGCTGCCAGGAAGGCGGGTGGGAGAGCCATTTGGCTTGTTCGCTGAACCACAGTCACCAAGAGGCAGAGGTAAAACCCCACCCACGGTGCCACGTCACAGCTAGGTCAGTACAAAGCAGGAAGTACAATCCGTCATGATCTGTCTCCCGCTCCCCAAAACAAGCAGTAGCAGAACAGACAAGTTTGCCTTCCCCGTTCCCCAGCTGCTCCTGCAGCTACTTTATTCACGCCACTGGTCCTCAGACAGAGCTGGCTCCCCAAAGTCACTGTAACATGTCAGTGGGAAGCAGAGCTGAGGGTTCTGGAGGTGAACCAATTGCCTGCGGCTGACACCAAGTAGCACGCCACTTCTACCATCTCTACCTTGCTACTCCTGCTGCAGCCATGGTCATACTGGGAAGCTAAGTCCTCAGTGCGCTTCTGCCTACAGATACCGGTGGTCAGTATGTGGAGGAAAAGCTCTGAATCTCTCCCCTATCGCTGGAGATGAGGGGCCTGTATATGACCAATGGGCCCGATTCCTGGTGAACTATTCTACACATGCATCATCTGTCTCGCCACTACACCCATGGCATGGTTGCCACTTGAAAACGGAGAAGCAGCCTCTTGCGCTGGAGAGTAGCAAGCTAACGCCATGCACAGGACCGTACCTGCAAAATATTCAGTGCTCTGCGCATGTCGCCACTGGAGAGGGTCACCAGTGCTTTCATCCCGTCGTCACTTACGTCAACCCTGAAAGACACAGATTTCAGGATGCACAGCTCACAACACAGTCTCACAACAGCTGAAAACGGAGAAGCAGCCTCTTGCGCTGGAGAGTAGCAAGCTAACGCCATGCACAGGACCGTACCTGCAAAATATTCAGTGCTCTGCGCATGTCGCCACTGGAGAGGGTCACCAGTGCTTTCATCCCGTCGTCACTTACGTCAACCCTGAAAGACACAGATTTCAGGATGCACAGCTCACAACACAGTCTCACAACAGCCGCCGGGGGGATACCACAGGATTTGAACAGTCTGGACAACATCACAAAAGCAATGCATAGACACAGCACCGTGAGTTTTGGGGCCCTCTGTCTGTGCAAAATGGTATCTTCTCTCCTCTCCCCTCCCATTTCCAGGCTGCTGGGAGCAAAGCCGACAGATCCTGTCACTTCAGGAGTAGGGATGTAAGAGGATACCTGGTAAGCATTAGGCCAATCACAGATGGCTGGAGTAGGTCTGGCTGAGTCTGGCCAGCGATGCTGGGAGCGGAGGGGGAGGGGGAGACAGGACATTGGCTGCTCCAACTTGGCTTGGGCGGGCTGGCAGCACTCCAGGCCTGGCGACACAGGGCAGTGTCCTGGCCACTCCGAGTTGGCCCAGGCAAGCTGGCAAAGCCAGGCTAGTGGGATTGTGGCTGGGCCGGCGCTTGCCCGCGGGAGCTGGGGCAGGCAGAGCCATGCCTGCCAACAGTTCACCAGTTAAGCATGATAATTTTAGTCATTTAACTGGTTAACTATTTAGCTGGCTATTTAAACTCCTCCTCAGAACCATTTACTCAGTCTGAGCTAGGCAGGCAGTGTGGGGACTGCTCCTCAGATCGCATTGCCAGGAGCAGGCCTATGCAGGACAACCCTCTGTCAGACCAGCAGACGCCACGCGGTGTGGGAAAAGCCATGAGGCTATGGAGTCAGAAAGCAAGTATTCCCGGGGAGGGGGCCTATCGAAGTAGAGGTGAAGCTGCCATGCGAAAGCACTGACCAGAAGCAGGTGTTGTGTACACAGATATTGCACAAGCTTCCATCACACACACACCTCTCTGCCAATGCACTTGGGCCTCAACCTACACCACACCTGGTATTCCTGTGGCCAATCAAGCCAAAAGGTTTACATCAAAAAATCCAAAAGTCGGGACTGCGTTGAGCTGAGACTGGTTACCCAGCTCAAGAGAAGTTACACACACCAGAGCAACAAGGTTTTAAACCACAAACAGTGGCGGGGTTCGTTTGTCGCAAAGTACCTTTATACTCAGAACTCTGATGGGATGGCACCTTCTCTCTAGTGGCACAAGCTTCCTGGGTGGACACACAGATAGCTTTTTTGGCATCCAAAGGAGCCTACACAGCTACAAGCTAGGAAGTGAGCTGGTTTCCACTCAGCTGTGAGCCATTATTAGCAGTCATTAAACTGCAATTGCAGAGCCCAGTTCTGCTGTGTTGCACCAGTGCAGGCTCACAGGCAATGGTGCATTTAGGGTAGAATTGGCCCTGCAGAACCTTCATTAGTAGGGATGAGGATAAGAAGAGAATCCAGCTCTGGTTTGCTCAGCTGGCTACCAGTAGGAGGGGACCTGAGCCAAGTTTGCTCTGGAAACCCCCAAAACAGCACTCCACAGGCCTCTCCTCTTTATAGTCCTCCACCTGCCTTTGAAGATGCAAAGCAGCTGAAAGGACAGACCTGCTCAGAGACAGACCTGCAGGCATCACTAGTTGCCAAAGATCGAAGGCAATTGGCTTTGGGAAAAAAGAGACACTGAGGAAAACCAGAGCTCTTTGCAGGGACAGAAATGTTTGGTGGAAACTGAAGAGAAGAAAAAAAAAAGCCAGCTGTTACTTCCAGAGGTAAGAGGAAGATTAGGAGGGCGAAGAGAAATTGGGAGGGAGGATATTACACAAAGCACTAAGGTCGCCCATGTGTGCACGAACAGGTCAATGAGAGATTCCATTTCCATCTAGCTCCAACTCGACTCCCTTCCCCTGCGGCGCTTTTCACTCACATCTCTTCCTCGATGACATGCTGCAGCCTGGGAACCATGAGCTCTGGAGTCAGGGGACCAAACCGGAACCGTGTGCATCTGGACTGCAAGGCAGGGATGATCTTGGAGAGGTAGTTACAGATCAGGCAAAACCTGGTGTTCTCGGTGAATTTCTCAATCACTGCAAGGAGGGGGTCGGGGGGAGAGGAGAGACTGGCAATCAGAAATTTGCAGCAGCCTGTGGCTGTGCTGTCAGAAGAGTTAGTGAGCACAAGCGGGGTGAACCATAGACCATTCCCCTCCGCAGAGGCTACACTGCCAGCATGAACTAACCTGGAATATCTAGAGCTAGAGGTTCACCTTCTGGAGCCGTTTATCGTTCTAAAGAAGGAGCTCCAGGAATTTGCAGTAGGCCTGAAACACTGAGCCCGTGTGGTCATCACAAAGCTATCATGCAGATTCCTCCTCTCACAGCTGCCTTCGGGAACTAACGTATATTGCTCTTTTCATCCCAAAGCATGGTACTGAGCTATGCACCATCACGCACACAGCCCACATCGGCACAGACGACACAGTCACTGGGGTGGTCGGCAACAGCTACCTGGCCTGCGACAGTGCGCTTACACATGCTGTTGTGTCAAACGCAGCGTTGCCAGGAAGCGCCAGAGCAGACAACTGGCTCTGAGGACGGGAGGCAGCGCGGCATGAAATCACAGCTGGGGCCCTGTCGTAGCAAATTACTCAGAGCCACAGCTCCTGCACCCAGCCACAAGGCAATTGCCACTCACCTCGCCGTAGGGCATTCTGGGCATCTTGGGTCATGGCGTCGGCTTCATCCAGGATGACAAGCTTAAAACCCTTCCTAGTGGAGAGAGAGAGGGGATGGCTGCTTCGGTCACGCCTGCTGCGGGTTAGGCTGCAGCAGGAGGAAGGCCATGGAATTGAGCCACCTCTGGCCTAGGGAGAGACCCATGCTACCAAACACTCACTCCTCCTTGCACCAGTCTCTTTTTTGGCTGAAACCCTGTATCCAACGCTACACGCTCCTCCTCCCTCCCGACTTGCAGCAGCGTTCCTTTGCCTACCCATAATCCTCTCTTCTCCCCCCTTCACAGCACTGTCCACACACTGCTGACAAAAAGCACA